AAACACCAGTCAATATATGCATCATTATTACGAGAGCTTTCATGCCACGAGAGTCCCGAAGGCGGGAGGTGCTGACATAATGAAAGACAGTGGTGCCATCTACATATTCATAGCAGGAGGTCTGGGGGCATCAAAGTAGGTTTTTGGGATAACAAATGCCACAAGGATCTTTGAGAATTAAGAATGATCATGAAGGGGACTTTGAAATTGAAAACTGGGACCAAGAACGCTTGGATTTAAGACTTGCAAACAAAGGGTCATGCTAAATTTCAGAAGAGGAGGCTGGGGTACACCAATGAAGGCCAAGAGCTCAGCCGATGTCAGAGGCCATTACAATTTGGAGGCTAAGATGGCCTCTGAAGATGCCATAGGGCACTAACTCAACTGGAAGGATGTCAGTAATTTTGGGAATGGGGTCACCCTTCTTCAAAAGGAATACTGTTCCCTGTGCTGAAGCTACAAGCTGGGTCAGTAGTTGCTGTGAGAAAAGTTCATTTACAAAGAATTCTCTTACAAAGAATTACAAAGAATACTATATGTACTAACCAGGATCTGTCTATCCCTTTGCTCTAATTAAATTTTAGAGTTGGACATAATCATTCTTACTCTGCTGTGAAACACTGAAAGCTGGCTACAAATGTAAAATCCCAAAGTAATTCAATATTTGCTAAATTTGAAGGAAGTAATCAGTTTCTAATTCGAATTTATGCACATTCTTTTCCACTTTAGCATTGTCGTATTTCCCTTAAGTTCCTCTTTGGTCATTACGATTGTCTGCAAGGTTATAGTCATTGAACAGTTTGTCACATGCTGCAGATATTTCTAGACCAAATTAAACTCTCAGTGTACTTGCATATAACTAAAGAAAAATGTATTAGGCACTTAAGGACAGATACTTTATATGTTCTACATTCACAGCCCCATTGGTCCACAGAGAATGGCATCTCTACTAGGTATTCAGTAAATATTTGCCAAACGAATCAAAGAAAAAAAATTATCTACCCTCTGATAGAATTATGCTCACATATTCCAAAATCTCAGGCCCATCTGACCCAGCATGTGCGTATGTATCTATGCATGCACGTGCTCTTCAAATTCCCACATGCTCATCCGTCGAGTTGAATACATTATTCTTCCTCCTGGCATGCGTGTCTATGTAACAAAACACCGAAGCAAGATTCACCATGAAAATCATCCCTAGAAAGATACTTTAACATTTCCCTCAAACATGCCATCCTTCCAGCACCTAAAAATTGAACTCAATTTTCATGAGGGAAGCTGTTCCCGTCTCCCTAGAAAACATATACTTTTAAAGTTTGAGCTCCCAATTTACATCTCCAAGTTCATCATAACAGAAAGGCACAGTTTACTTGTCCCTGGAAAATTCATTTTGAACCACTTTTCCTAACACAGCCTCCTTTCATGTCTGCTTAGACTAATGCCCAGCACTTCTTCCATGTTTTCAACTCTTACTACTTCTTGAAGTCAGATTCCCCCATCTGTATTCCTGAGGCGGGATGACAAAAGCCAGACTACACTTCAGCTTCCTAGGATATCCTGCCCTGGAGATGCTCAGCAGGCAACTGGAAATTGGAGTTAGCCTGGAGCTCCGGAACGAGTTAAGGATTGGAGAGGTCAGTTTGGGAATCATTAGTGTAGAGGTGAAAGGTGAAGCTATGTGGGGAGATGAAGTTACCCAGAATGAGAACATAGCAAGAGAAGAGAAGCAGATCAATGACAGGACCTTGGGAATTGCTCCATTTAAATATGTGGATGGGGAGGGAGAGGCTGTGTGAGTGTGTGGGTGTGTGTGTGTGTGAGTGTGTGTGCACACGCATGCGCTTAAAAGAGATCCCAACAAAGGAAACTTAAGAAGCATTGAGAAGAAGAGAGGAGGTGAACCAAGATAAAGGATGAATGCTTTCAAGCTAGAGAAGATGTGCAAAACACCAGAACCTCCAAAGAGTTCAAGAAGACTGAGGCCACAGAAGCAGCCAATGGATTTTGAAACCTGGCAGTCATAAATAACCTTTAGGAAAACAGCCTTCCTCTGTCATTTTTGTGGACTTTCAGTGCCCACATGCGGATGTGGTTAAGTGTATATGCATGTACCCCAAACTACCATAAGATTAAATATTGGACATGAGTAAGACTGTACTGGGTGTGTCAGATAACAGTAGTAATAACCACTACCACGTACTGATGGCTTATAACGTGCCAGGAACAGTGCCAAGCACTTGATAGGCCTGATCTCAATTTAATTTTCGCAGCAAGTCTATAAAGTGGCTACATTTTACATGTGAAGAAACTGACAGCCCACAGAAGTTAAATAAGTTACTCAAGGTTGTGCTGTGAGAAAGTGGCAGCGCCAGGACTGGACTGGAGGACGGACTGACAGTAACACTTGAGCCATAGTGACGTGAGCTGGGTCCTCTGTGCGCGGGGAGGAAAGAAAGAGCTGATAGTGGTTGACGGTCTCCCATTGCCAAGTGCTTTGCTTAGGACATCCCCCTTCACACATATACCATCAACACAATGGCTATGTTTAGGGTAACCTTACAAAGGCATATTTTTTAAAAACTCTGATTCAGCTTTTTAGAAAAGAAGCTGAAGCCACAGGATTCTAAAGCATCCCGTTATAATTCAAATGTATTTACTATAATAGCTCCCAATGGTTTGAACATTAAAAAAAAAAAAAGTGTGGCATCATTGATTTGGTGGTTGTTCCTGACACCCAAATGACTGACAGTCCAACTCATTTGAAAAGTGAAGGAATTTGACAGGTGATCTAAAGGCCTCCTCCAGCCTTGAGCTTCTCTGATTCTCATGGGTGTGTCTCATGCCAATAATTTTAAAGATATGGAGTATGGAGTGGAATGTCAAGTGCAGCAGCAGAACTGGCTGGTACATCAGCACCCTTTCCTTCCTTAAATGTATAGAGGCCTACGGTTAAAATCTTACAAAAACAGCCTTTGGTTGTTCAAACCATTGATTGCTAACTTAAGCAGAAACTTGGAAACTCCATCACAAAATGATACACTGAAAATCCAGCCAAATCATTTGCTTACAAGCAACTGCAGACCTTATAATATGGCTGGCGGTAGGAAAAAGAGAGAGAGAGTGACACTCCGGCAATTAATGTTTTTGCTGTCTATAGAAAAACAAATGAGGTTCTGGTCTGAAACAATTAGTATCACTGTTAATTGTGCATGTGCGTAGCAATAATACAAGGCATTTGGGATGGCTTCCACTGATTGTTCCCTTCTTTCTCTGGATTACAGAATCCATTCAGACAACTAAATAATAGCAAGCATTTATGCAAATTGTTAATTATGAGGCAGAGATCATCATAATCTTGTATATTTCTCAAACTGCATGCACAGTGGGGATTACCAAATGAATCGTTACTTTATTATTTTACTAGTGGATGAAAAATATACTAGCCTTGCAAATGGTTTTCATGTATCATTCAGCCCACCAGCATTAAAAATGGCCCCAGCGACATTTTCCAAAGCTGTTTCTTCTCCATCTCCCCATCTGTACCTCTCTTCCTTTCTCACAAACGAAGAGCAGGTATAAATTTCTCTGAGAATAACTTCTAGTCAAACTGATCAGTGCCATAATCAAAATAGAGCACGTCAAGATCCACTCTGTGATGCACCAAGACTGGTATAGATACATGCTTCTATTGTGCAGTAAATTTTAAAACAAAATTCTCAACATTTCCTGTTAAAGCAATTCCTGGGATAATAGCCTGTATGTTATTGGCCATTATCTTAATGGTCATTTACTATTTTATTTTACAGACGAGGAAATCAAGGCTCACAGCAGAGATGGGGCTTGAGCAGAGTCACTCCACTCGTAGTGGCAGAATCTCATACTCTCGCCACCAAGCTACATCCAGTCTATGATCTTTAAATGCCCTTCCATACTCATATTGTGTGATTAGGGGTCTATGTGGCTCTATACCATTTGTCCCAAGGAACTGTAATCTGACCACAGAATTAAAGACTGAATTTACTATTCTCAGCTGTCGACTCCACTGAGGCCCTAATGAGAAAATGGAAGCCCAGCTACTGAAAGCCAAACTAGGCATTTAAGAAGTGGCCCATCTATTCTATTTGAATGAGAATCTGCCCCTGGTGGAGGAATCCCAAGTCTACCACCTTTGCTGCCTAACCCTTTTGGCCAGGGAGTATAGGATGGGGGCGAGGTGGACTAGAAGAGAAAGCAAAGACAACAGTAAATATTTCTGGTGCCAATAAGCCTGTAATAGTCCAAATACAGTGCTGGTGAGTATCGTGATCTTAGAAAACCATGTGCCAAGCAACTAGTGCACACATTTACAAATAGCTAATGATTCTCATTAGCCTCTTCAGCCCTGGTTGCAATATGAGGGTACTGCAAAGGTGCTGTTCTGGAGCATTCTCGATGCCCCTCTACCCCCACAGTTAGGAACTTTCCTGTGTTTGGTTAGATTTGCTCTGCTGCAGAGTTTCTGTCATAGAGGCCCCTCACCTATGGGATTATTCTACCTTGCAAGACTCCGTATTTACACACTTTAAAAGCCCTGATATTTTCAAATAATTGATTTTCCCTCAATGAAATGCTGGCCTTGTTCTTCCCTAAACTACCAACCAGCCTAAGTGACAGGCAGGCATGCCGGAAGCACTGAAAAACACTTTGTCAATGGTGACAGGTTCCTCGCAAAACACTCTACTAATGACCAACTGCCCAACTGTCTGGGATGCTGGCCCTGAACATCCATCCCACTTCTGCACTGGGTCAGCTTTACAGACCTGAGACAACATGCCTGGGCAGTTTCAGCTGTTTTAGACTTAAAAAAAAAAAAAAAAAAAAAAAAAAGAGCCCGAGAAAGAACGTGTCTAAGCCAAAATCTAACTATTCATTGTACTGAAATCAAACCAATAGGTGACTGTAGAGTCTGTTTATTCTAGCTTACTTGGGTTCAGTTGAACTAAAAATACATTGTCACTTACCTTGCTGCATCTAGAATCTGAAAAATCCTCCACCTGTTAAAGGAACAGTAAAACCAGGTGCTAGCAAGAGCTTGGTAAGAGATGAGTTAAAATAATAAAAGTCTTCCATTTTGCTTTGCTAGTGTGTATTTTTCCAGTTTCCCAAACCACAAGGAAACAACTCATGGATGGCTCCTCCACATTGCTCCCTATTTGCTCCTCTCCAGGAGTGGGGGATTATGAATCAGGGGGCTCAGATGGGCAAGGCAATGTGAGAGCCAGACCTCTGGCGAGGCTATCAGCTGAGAATGATAGATCCATCACTCGGTCATGCTCGTTCCTTGCCCTTCTCTAAAGTGATGGCAATCTAAGCAAAACACAAATGTCAATAAACCAAAAACCAAACCAAACCAAATGCTATGGCGTCACTAATATGGAAGCACCTGGTGGAAAAGATCTAGGAGGAATTTCCAGGATTTTTAAAAATATTATCAGTAATACATGAAACACAAATAGCAAAAGGAAAAGAAAAGAATGATTAGACTTTGCTGATGCTCTTCAAAAAGATGAAAACTCAAAGCGCACACACAGTGATCCATAAATTGTCACTCCAGTCCCTTCCACACAAACACAAGACATCCACCAAAGTAAGCAATGTTTCTCCATGCAAAAACAAAACAAAACAAAACAAGGCTTAGCTGTTTTCTTAATATATGTCTTAAGAGTCACAAACACTAATTCCATTACATGAATTTCTGATATTAGCAGGGACTGGGAATTTGTGCACACGTCAATTGCTAATTTGAGGGTTCAAGTGGACTCAAATTAGCTTTTCATTGTGTATTAAGCCAGAACAAGGGATATCACAATGTAATAACACATTTGTGCCCAAAGTGAGTTATACAGCCTGTACATTTTCTTGGGACAAGTGCTTCTTCATATCGGATATGTCTGGATGCTCCAGAAGTGAGTTAAGAGAGACTTTTAATTGTTTGGCCAGCAGCAGAGCCTTTGCCTCATCATTTGAGAAACAGTGTAAGACTCTTATCATCAGTTCCTGGCTAAGCACCCCCTTCCCTGGTTCTGTGAGTTAAGACTGTGGGAGAAGCTAATGTTATGAGAAACAAAAGTGATGTACTTGGTGAGCTTGACAAAAGCTCTGTTGGACAAGATACCCCCATTAGCTGACTTACCATCCAGGGCCCAATGTGCTCTTCTTCCATTCCAGCCGCAAGAAAGAAGTAATCTAGAATGTTCTGACCTACCCCATGACCTAGTTTCCCTACACGGTGAAGAGAGGCTAGAACTTCTTCCACTGCACTCAGCCTCATGAACAAAAAATAACACAACTTTGGGTGAAAAATTAAGAAAAAAAAAACAAGGAAACACAGAGCTATATGTTGATTCTCAGTACTAGAAAATTCCAAAGTCAAATATGTAGCACATTCCAGAACCATAATTTTCATTCTACTGCAGTAATAGAAATCCTCAAATAATAGAAGTATGTACATAAATGATTTATTATATGGGGACTAGACCAAATTTAACTCTGATCAGGGGAACTATTATCTCTTGATATTTTTAAAAAATTTCTATGTAAATTTCTCAACTGCCTATGAAAGTTTGCCTGATGGTTGCACTGAGACTTTTGGGAGTTCATTGCCTTACCTGGAAATCCAGGTTGCCAGAAGTGGAATATTCAATGGTGATCCAGGAAGATGTTACAGGTGCATCAATCAAAATGGTGGGCAGTCATCAGAAGTGAATCAAAGGCCATGGAGAGAAAAGGCAAAAAAAAAAAAAAAAAAAGGAAAGGCATACTGGTTAGAAAAAATGAATTAACTTTATGAACCCATTTTACCCGTGTGCGCGCACGCGCGCACACACACACACACACACACACACACTTTGGGAATGTTCTTAAATGGAATCTTTTAAAAGGGCTCTTTTTTAAAAAGAAAAGATTTATTCATTTGCGGGGGAGGGAGAGAGAGAAAGAGAAAAAGCAGAGAGCGTGAGTTGGGGGAGAGGCAAAGGGAGAGGGAGAAAGAGAGAATCTCAAGCACACTACGCTCAGCGTAGAGCTCAAGGTCTTGGGGCTCAATCCCAGGACTCTGAGAGCATGACCTGAGCCGAAATCAAGAGACAGATGCTTAACTGACTAAGCCATGCAGGCGTCCCTAAAAGGGCTCTTTAATAAAAAGAAGGGGTAATTATAAAATGTGACAGAGATGCTAGATATCACTACAATGGTAATCATATTACAATATATATAAATGTATTAAATAAACACAGTATACCTCAAATGTGGGAACGCATGGAGCACTGGGTGTTATGCACAAACAATGAATCATGGAACACTACATCAAAAACTAATGATGTAATGTATGGTGATTAACATAACAATAACAAATTATTAAAAAAAACTAATGATGTAATGTATGGTGATTAACATAACATAATAAAATTAAATTTAAAAAAATCTTCCACAAGATTGTAAATTTCCTCAAGGCAGGGATTTGTGTCTGTTCTAGTCAATGTTGTTGTCATTGTTGTATGTTGTATGTCAACAATGTTGTATGTCAAATACATTTACTAAAATATTACCCCACAAACAAGTTTGGTATTTCGTATGTGCCAAGCATTATTATAGGTATTGAGGATGCAGCAGTGACTAGAACAGACACAAATCCCTGCCTCGAGGAAATTTACAATCTTGTGGAAGATTTTTTTAAATTTAATTTTATTATGTTATGTTAATCACCATACATTACATCAGTAGTTTTTGATGTAGTGTTCCATGATTCATTGTTTGTGCATAACACCCAGTGCTCCATGCATTCCCACGTACATGCCCTCTTTAATACCCCTCACCAGGCTAACCCATGCCCCCACCCCCTCCCCTCTAGAACCCTCAGTTTGTTTCTCAGAGTCCATAGTCTCTCATGGTTCGTCTCCCCCTCCGATTGCTCCCCCTTCATTTTTCCCTTCCTACTATCTTTTTTTTTTTTAACATATAATGTATTATTTGTTTCAGAGGTACAGGTCTGTGATTCATCAGTCTTACACAATTCACAGGGCTCACCATAGCACATACCCTCCCCAATGTCTATCACCCAGCCACCCCATCCCTCCCACCCCCACCACTCCAGCTACACTCAGTTTGTTTCCTGAGATTAAGAATTTCTCATATCAGTGAGATCATATGACACATGTCTTTCTCTGATTGACTTATTTAGCTTAGCATAATACCCTCTAGGTCCATCCACGTTGTTGCAAATGGCAAGATTTCTTATTTATTTGATGCCTGCATACTACTCCATTGTATATATATACCACTTCTTTATCCATTCATCTGTTGATGGACATCTTGGTTCTTTCCATAGTTTGGCTATTGTGGATATTGCTGCTATAAACTTTGGGGTGCACGTACCCCTTCAATCACTACATTTGTATCTTTGGGGTAAATACCCAGTAGAGCAATTGCTGGGTCGTAGGGTAGCTCTATTTTCAACTTTTCGAGGAACCTCCATACTGTTTTCCAGAGTGGCTGCACCAGCTTGCATTCCCACCAACAGTGTGGGAGGGTTTCCCTTTCTCCACATCCTTGCCAACATCTGTCGTTTCCTGACTTGTTAATTTTATCCATTCTGACTGGTGTGAGGTGGTATCTCATTGAGGTTTTGATTTGGATTTCCCTGACGCCGAGTGATGCTGAGCACATTTTCATGTGTCTGTTGGCCATTTGGATGTCTTCTTTGGAAAAATGTCTGTTCACGTCTTCTGCCCATTTCTTCATTGGACCATTTGTTCTTTGGGTGTTGAGTTTGATAAGTTCTTTATAGATTTTGGATATTAGCCCTTTATCTGATATGTCATTTGCAAATATCTTCTCCCGTTCTGTCGGCTGTCTTTTGGTTTTGTTGACTGTTTCCTTTGCTGTGCAAAAGCTTTTTATCTTGATGAAGTCCCAATAGTTCATTTTTGCCCTTGCTTCCCTTGCCTTTGGCCATGTTTCTAGGAAGAAGTTGCTGCAGCTGAGGTCGAAGAGGTTGCTGCCTGTGTTAACCTCTAGGATTTTGATGGACGCCTGTCTCACATTTAGGTCTTTCATCCATTTTGAGTCTATTTTTGTGTGTGGTGTAAGGAAATGGTCCAGTTTCATTCTTCTACATGTGGCTGTCCAATGTTCCCAAGACCATTTGTTGAAGAGACTGTCTTTTTTCCACTGGACATTCTTTCCTGCTTTGTCAAAGATTAGTTGACCATAGAATTGAGGGTCCATTTCTGGTTTCTCTATTCTGTTCCACTGATCTATGGGTCTGTTTTTGTGCCAGTACCAGACTGTCTTGATGATGACAACTTTGTAATAGAGCTTGAAGTCCGGAATTGTGATGCCAGTGGCTTTGCTTTTCTTTTTCAACATTCCTCTGGCTATTCGGGGTCTTTTCTGGTACCATACAAATTTTAGGATTATTTGTTCCATTTCTTTGAAAAAAGTGGATGGTATTTTGATAGGGATTGCATTAAATGTGTAGATTGCTCTAGGTAGCATTGACATCTTCACAATATTTGTTCTTCCAGTCCATGAGCATGGAACGTTTTTCCATTTCTTTGTGTCTTCCTCAATTTCTTTCATGAGTATTTTATAGTTTTCTGAGTACAGTTCCTTTGCCTCTTTGGTTAGATTTATTCCTAGGTATCTTATGGTTTTGGGTGCAATTGTTAATGGGATTGACTCCTTAATTTCTCTTTCTTCTCTCTTGTTGTTGGTGTATAGGAATGCCACTGATTTCTGTGCATCGATTTTATATCCTGCCACTTGACTGAATTCCTGTATGAGTTCTAGCACTTTTGGGGTGGAGTCTTTTGGGTTTTCCACATGAAGTATCATAGCATCTGCAAAGAGTGAGAGTTTGACTTCTTCTTTGCCGATTCGGATGCCTTTTATTTCTTTTTGTTGTCTAATTGCTGAGGCTAGGACTTGTAGTACTATGTTGAATAGCAGTGGTGATAGTGGACATCCCTGCCGCGTTCCTGACCTTAAGGGGGAA